TCTATTAGGTTTATAAAATAATGTCAATTATTTTGAGAGAGAGGAGAGAGAGAGAGAGAGAGAGATTTAGTCAGCAGATTTGATATTTATTGTACTGATACTGTATATTTAAGTTCACTTCTATTAGGTTTATAAAATAATGTCAATTATTTTGAGAGAGAGGAGAGAGAGAGGAGAGAGAGAGAGAGAGAGAGATTTAGTCAGCAGATTTGATATTTATTGTACTGATACTGTATATTTAAGTTCACTTCTATTAGGTTTATAAAATAATGTCAATTATTTTGTTTTCAATTTATATATGAATTGAATGAAAATAATATTATAATCTATTTTTAAGGATATTTATTTCGTGTTCATAAAAATTATTTATACAAACAAAAAAGTTATATTTCTCTTGAGCTAAAATCAATTATTATTTTAGTTTACGTACTGTTATTCACAGACATGTATTCAAACTTATAGACAATTTTAAGGATTGCATTAAATCATGCAATTCTTGAATTTAAGTTTATTGTTTATAAATCAATAGTAAAATCTATATATTATATAAAGTAATTTGAATATAAAATTATTTTCCAAATAAAAATGTTGTACAAAACAATTTTTTAAAACAACTTATTTTTAACATATATTTTGTTTCATCTAAATAAAGAAGTTCACTATAATATACATTGAGATGCAAATAACTATTGATTATCTCATGGGAAATAATTTTATTAATAAACAACAGCTGTCTGTCTATTAATTAATTATTCTTTAATAAATTAAAGCAATTTCTAAACAATAAAAATTAATTAAATAACTCTTTATCTTTAATAAATAAGTCTTTTACAGTATTTATATTATATTAAACTGGTGGACAATAATCCAGGTCTTTATAGATGTTATGCTTTCCTCGACAAATAACTCAAAATGCTTTTTAATACAAAATAAACATAATTTTGTTTTCATATATAGTATGGTTTGCTTTCAATGTTGTCTCCGATTCACACATAGAGTATATGTAGGCCTCAAGTGTTCAAACATTTGTTTCCTAATCTCAACTCAATTCTTGTTTTGATTATATTCTGATTCCTTTTGCGAACGAAATTCATATAACATATAAAGTTATAGTATTTATATATATTTTGTATTGAAATCATTCCATAATCTGTGCTTACAATTAAGTCATGAAAGATGTGCCACAAAAAGTAATATACTGTAGGAATTGTTTGAATTGTGGGGTTTGTGAGGTTTGTGGGAGTGCTGGCACTGTAACAGCTATTTCTAATGGCGATGACATAATACCCGTGAACACAGGAGTGTGACCTTTTAACTAGATGAATTTTATAATTACATATTTTCTATATCGATCAAAGAATAAATAATATTAATTAGTATTTATAAGGTATTATGACATTTACTGTTAAAAGAAACAGCCTTATTATTTAAATATCAATCTGACATGTAATTCTTGAAAACAACTTTATATATATTATTATTATTTCTGATAAACAAATCAAAAATATGTATAAATGTTATATCATATAACTATTTAAGATTGCATTTGTGATTAGGCACAATATATAAACTAATCACGTATCAAATATGAAAGCAAATGGCACTAAATACTTTGAATTATCCACTAACTATAATTAAAAGCATTCAAAATAATAATATAGAAAGATCATTTGATATATTAATGAATTTTTATCATTCAAAACATAAAATAAAAATAAAAATTATTTAATGAAACAAAACAAAAATTTCAATTTATTTTTACAAAACTAATTAGTTATAGATTTATAGAAATAAAATCCTACTTTAAATTATCCTTCATTATTAAATATTTATTTTAATTATTTTTTCTTCTGATATAAATAACCTTTAAAATTAAATCCGTTATTAGTTTTAATCTAATATAATCTCACTATTAATTCAAATTTAGGCCATACTATGCATTCCTCGCCAAAACTGTTCATTTTTATCATTCAAATGATGGCATTAATTGCGATACAATTAGAGACGGTTTTGGGAACCGCTTCGTCGTTAGACTCGGCAGAAAAGACAGATATATCTCCTCTAAAGGCCTCCGATATTAATAATTACGAGAAATCAATGCTAACCAAAGAAGCGTTAGATTCAGATCTCATGGACTCATACGATGAGGAAAAGAGGGCCCAAAAGTGGAATAACCTCCAGGGTTTGCATACATTCACTACTCATTACACCATTTAATTACAAATTAAACATTTAATTGTGTTTGACATTTAGGCGGTTGGGGTAAGAGAGCGAACTGGAACAACAAATTATCGGCCGCTTGGGGTATGCCTTTCAACACCAAAACTGATGGTCACTTTAACTAAATAATCTTTTTCATTATATCATAGGCAAGAGGCCGGCCGGGGGTTCAGCCGCCGGTTGGAACAACTTATCGGGAATGTGGGGAAAGAGGGCGTGGAATGAATTGAACGGAATGTGGGGTAAACGGGGCTGGAATGACATGTCCGGCGGATGGGGTCAGTATTTTTACCATATTTATTGTTTTATTTAATACATGTTTAGATTTTTACCGATAGTTTGTAATATAAGTCAAGAATTTATTCGTAATATTATCGGTACTCATAAAAAAAACTTTATGCCATACAATAGTGTATAATATGAACAATAAATAAAAACCAAACGAAGAGTTAATAATAGATAACCAGATTTAATACAATTCTGTTTAGTGTCTCATTAAACACCATAATTCCTGTTATTTATTATTATTGCTATAAATATAATCGTAAGCCTAATAGATATAGTGTATATGTATTTAGGGAAACGTTTACTAAAACCAAAATTAACTATAATTTTTATGTATTTGGATGACAGGCAAACGCAATTCACCTCATTGGAATAAGGTATGCATCAAACATTACAGTATATGACAATTCACACCACAAACTCATAAATATGTTTATTGTTTTTGTGTTCAGTTGAGAGGAATGTGGGGTAAACGGAGTGTCAGTGACTCCGAAGCCAACGACGGATTTGCAGAGAAATAGACGTTTCGAGTGAAGAGAAGACCGTTTATTATATGAAAAGACTTTTAACTTAAATCATATTTATTGTACAATTAGTTTATTATTATTATTATTAAGAAATGAAATTTTCGGTTTAATTATTTCATTAATTTAATCATAAGTTATATTTCATTACGTTTTTTGTTTATTTGGAAAAACGCTTTCTGTTGTAAAACAATGTTTTAAACTAAAAAGTTTTTAAAAATTGTATTTAAATGTATTTAAGATGCCGTTTGTTAGATGCTATCACTAATATATATTATTTATTATTATTATTACTATTATTGTCATCAAAACTGATTAATTGAAATATAAGGCATTGAGAAAAAGGTCCGCCGGTTTTGCAATAAGTTATAACATATTTATTGGTCAACACTTAATGCTCTGTGAAAACGTTATTTCCAATTAATTTTATCGATTGTATCACATATTTAGTAAATGTCGTTAACATTATATATATGTTTTGTATATTCATTGACAGAGAAAAACAGAAATTAAATATTAATATATAATTATTTCAATCGATAAACACTTTTAATAAATACAGAAATTAATCCCAACTTTTAAACAATTACTCGTTTTTATGCCTCAAATTCTTTAAAGAATCGTATTTTCAAATTCATTCAACATTTCTGCTCCAAATCGACATTCATTTGGTTTGAAGACAATAGAGTGCTTTACTTTACTCTTTACGAATGCTTTGGATTGTCGTCAACGCCACCACAAAATCGCTAACAAACGCACCACAAATGCCATCAAAATTGCTTCGTTTCCAGTCATACCTGAGTTTGTCTTTTACTTTAAAATTAATTAAAAATTTGCTTTAATATTATCAAAATATTTGTCCGAAAAGTCCCAATAATAGGCGTAAAAATAGTGTCCAAACAACTAATAATAAGTTTCCAAACAAAATGAATTTCAAAATACATCTCTCAATGAGTCAATGCATGGCTTATTTGCTATAAAAAGATGAGAAAACAAATCATTAAATATATATCTTTGGGATTAGAAGGGAATTATAAATTTTAATTAAAATTGGCTAACATTTATGTCATCAATTTAAACGTAATATAAAGTTTTTGTTTCAATATCTAATGATATATACATTAATTTAATAATAATTTAATCCAATGTTTACTAAAAATTAATGTTTGTTTTGCAATAAAAATCTTGTGAAGCAATCAATTTACACAATATATGAAAAACGCTTAAATTATGGAAAAGTAGTGATAATTCGCTGAATATTTTCTAAATATAATAATAATAATAATAATCTTTCAATAATTTAATAAATATTACACTTAATGTCAAAATTTGACACAAATATTAAATTTGTTTCTAAAATGAGAAAAAACAATAGTTTAACAGATAATACAACAGTCGGTTCGGTCTGTTTTATGCCTTTTCATGCAAACACTGTCTGAGCTCTTAATGTCGCTCTTATTGGTGACAGAGTTTGACGACTCGTTTTCATTGAACAGAATATTATTACAAGATTTGGACTGAACTATAATTCTCATCGAAGGAGAGCTCGAGTTATTAATGGATGTGTTGTTTGTACTAACGTTTGTTCCGAAATGACTGATCAAATGATCGCTTTGTTTGTCATGTTTTGTCTCATTAGATAAGATCATTGCCGTCGGTCTGACACGACTCGACTGAGACATACAGTTCTCGTAATCACTTTCAGACATCTCTTCCATCTCTGCGTTACGAAGCAGTTCTGGAGAACTGGACGCCGAATGCAGTGTCGGTCCGGTCGTCACCATAACTGTTGTGTTGGGGTTCGGGTTAAGGGATGGCTCATCGGTTGGTCCCAAATCGGATTCACTCATATCATAGTCATTGGAATGAAGCGTTTCGTCCGCTTCTGGGAGTGTGTCTTCAGATTCTGAATAGTCGGTGACCACTATATTGACGATCGGATGAATGGGTCGGAGTTCGTCGTAAATCCAACGCTCACCGATTGGTCCTTCAAGACTGGACAGTTCAGAGCCGCCCTCTGCCGCACAACTGCCCTCTTCGCTCACTATTGAACACTTGCGCTGAAGTGGGAGAACAAGACCAGTGCCGTCATCGTTGGGCAACTCGAGCTGTGCCGGTGCCGTAAACATTATCGGATTGTCCTCTTCTTGTTCTTCCTCTTGAAATGGTTGCGTATTTCTGGAGATCTGTTGAATCAAATGTTTTCTGGGTTTGAGTGGAAGTAATCGTTTTGGCAAATGTCCCGAAATGTTGGGATTCACTGAACTGTTGCTTTGATGCAAACCGTGAAACTCACGCATCGACTTGTCTTTCAACAACTGATACGTGGCCTTAATATAGTGCTCGTGATTAACACCGCTTTGAGTCCGCTCTCCATTCACTGCTGAGTCGCCGTTAATTGGGGTCACAGTAGGGGTCGGCGACGAAGACTTGGCGCCGGCGTTGTTGTGCGGCTCATCCGAGAGCACACTTTCCAACACTTTTTCGATGTGCTCTTTGGAATCGCCCACACCTTTGGTCACCATTTGGTCGATCACTCGATTGTGAACCGAATGCTTCACATTCTTCGGAACGGATGGCAGTTTCGACGAACACGTGATGTCTTCGAAACTAAGATCTTCGCACTCTTGAAGCCACAAATGAGTGATTATTTCTTCAATTTTGAGTCGATTATTGGGTTCCCGTTTGAGCAGAGCTTTGATGAGTTCTATTGCAGATTCAGTTATTGATGGCCGCGGAGGCGTCGAGAAAGTGCAGTCCAGTATCCTTTCAATTCAATTCAAATTATTAATCATATATATCACAAATTCATTCAATTGATGGCATACCTGCACAAAGTCTCGCTGTCGTTGATTTGCATGAATGGGTTGTTTCCATACAATAGTATATACAAAATGCAACCCAAACCCCAAATGTCTACTTTAGGGCCGTTGTAGTGGTCGCCTGTTTACCACACAAAGTTGTAAATCAATTTAATAGATGTTTAAATACTTATAAAGTTTACGAAAAGCAAACCTAAGAGTATTTCTGGTGCGGAATAGGCTAACGATCCGCAGGAAGTCCTCATCATCTCTCCTTCGGCCCATTGGTTGGAAAATCCAAAGTCTATGAGTTTAACCAAAGGGTATTTGATTCTTGGATTGAGTTGTTCTAATGGCTGGGCTATGATTAGTATGTTTTCTGGCTTCAGGTCTCTGTGAACGATCTGAAGGGAATGACAGTAAGAGATCGCACAACAAATCTGCACAAATCAATAATAAAAGCAATTAATGAAAAACAATTGTCACCACAATTACAGTATAAAGTACTGTATATCGAGTAATACCTGACGAAAAATATGCTTCGCTTCGCTCTCTTTTAAACCGTTTCCGTGATTTCGTCTCTGGATGTGATCGTAGAGATCGCACACGTCTTGACCGCAATATTCTGATCGCCGGAACAAATGGTATAATTAATTGCGTGAATAAGTGACAGAAAGTGTGTATTCATAACAAACCCATAACGAGGTATAGTTTGGTGCGCGTATCGATCACTTGATACAATTTGACCACATTTTGGTGCTCGTGTTCCGAGAGTCGAGACCATAATCGGATCTCAATTCCCAATTGTTGCAGACCTTCTTTGTTTAGCTTTGCTTTGTCTATGATCTTAATGGCCACCGATTCTCCTGGAAATGAGGACTTCCTGCGGATCGTTAGCCTATTCCGCACCAGAAATACTCTTAGGTTTGCTTTTCGT